AGCCCCAGCCAGTCCTGTCAAGTTGACGTGTGTCATTCAAACCACGGATGGATAGCTTGGTTCCCCCCTTCCCCCCCCAAAACCGTGCCAAACACACGGGGGGAGGCAGAGAGGAGAGGGCAGGCGTGAGCGGCTCTCACGGACCCGCAAAGCGCTTGGGGTCTTCAGACACTCGGAGCAAAGCTTGGCCCTGAGAGAAACTTCTTGCCCTGCTGCCCTTGAGGGAAGGTTTCCGGCCAGGCGGGTCTCTGATAAGGCATTTTCAACGGGGACTTGGATCGAACGGCCTCTGCAGAGCGAGTGGAGCAGGTGGGGCAGCGCACACCGGCGCGTATCCGTGAGCACGAGTGCAGGCGCGCGTGGCAGTGGGGTCACACGAGGCAGCAAAGCCAAGGCAGTCACACCTGGACAAGCCCAGGCCAGGGGGAGGGAGAGGACAGGAGGGTTTCATCCCCGGCTCAGTTCATCTGTAAAGCTGCCCCCATGTCCTCCCAGCCCCTTGACACCTCTCTCCCTGGCTCAGGCCACTGGCACGGGATGAAATACTGACGGTCGTTGGAGTGGCACATCCAGGCGCATGGAGTGGTAGACAGGCACACGTAAGAGTTAAGACAACAGTCGATCTGAGCTTTGTACAGCGAGGAGCAGCTCCTGGCCGGAGTGTCCGAGGACTTGGACAACAAAATGCCACAGTGATTAGATCGGGCCAGGACGAGGGGGCGGGCGCAGGGCAGAGCGGGAGAGGAGGAAGGCAAGTCCCGGCACCTATCGGCGGTAATGATTGGGGGCATCTGCAAACATGTACTTGAGTCTGTAGGCTTCGGCGAGCAGGAGTCCGATCTCTTCGTTGCCCCAGTGTATCGTCGGTAGATTTTGTAACAACATTAGAAGGCCCTGAAAGAGGGGAAGGTGCTTAGTTGGGGTAGTTGAAGACAGCGCACCTCCAGCCCAGGCTCACGGCTGGCCTGAGCAGAGGCAGCAGCACCGATTAACTTTCCCTCCCTGCTCTCGCAGGCCTGAAAGGCTCACAGATAGCACTGAGACACGCTCGTGTTTAGCTCTGTATCAGCACAGCACTTCGGACTTCCCCAAACCTCTTGACGAGAGGGTGCTGCCATCCCATGTTACAGCTGGACACCAGAAGGCAGATGTGAAGGGACTTGCCATGATCAAAGCTTGAGCCCGGGGAGAAAAGCTAGCGTTTGGAGCTTGCAGCTTCCCACTGCTCAGCTCTCTGTGCTGAGCACTGAGGCTCAGAAGTTACTCATGGGCAGAGATCCTGAGCCTGGAAGATCTCAGAGCCAGTTTTGAGATGGTCATTGACTGCATCTATGCTGGGCCCCCATCCAGGGCAATCCCCTCCCCTCTCCCCTAAGGGAATCGACTTCCCTCCCAGGGACTTACTTGAAAGTCTTCCTCATCCAGGATCTCCTTCCGCCACTTGATCAAGAAGGCGGCGCAGACGTACAGGTGGAAATGAGAGAATCCTTCTGGCTCCGACTGCAAACAAGGAAATGGTGTCAGCCACCACAGCTCAGCAGCAGTACAGCTCCCCCAGTACACAGCCACTCTGCTGGGCCACCCTTTAACTCCCCGCTGCCTACAAACGCTCCGGGGCCACACTACTTTGCTTCTCTCACCTCCCCAGCTGCACAGTACTGCCAAGAGACCTCCTTCCCAGGGAACGGAGAATTGGCTCTGGAGGGAGGGATGGGGGCCTGCATACCTGGTAGGTGTCCCAGAGGCGGATGGTGCAGCGAAGAGGCAGTTCCCTCATGAGCAGATTGTTCATCCAGCGAAAGGCAAACTGCAAGTATTCGACCTCGTACTTCCTAAAGTGATTATGTACCTGCTCTGAAACAGTACATTTCACTTACACACCTGGAGATCATGGTGCCCCAGCTCCCGCACAAGGCACCGCTGTCGTGCACTTTCAGGCAGACTCCTCATTCTCCCAAACGACTCCGATCCTCGCCTTCTGCTACCCAGCCAGGTAAACCCTGCCCTCGTGAGCCTTCTGGCTAACTACACTGCCCCGCTGCCCTCCCTCCATATGCCTTGTAGTCAAGCCCCTACCCTCTGCCGTGCTCTCGCAGCTCTAAGTGAGCCCCCTTTCATGCCCTGATACCCCCCAGCTCCCTGAACTCCAGCCACATGCAGCTGTCCTCTGCCCCTGCCCTGCTCAGATCCCTTTGTTGCCTACCATCGATCCGGCTGACTAGCTCCTCCAAGGCTTTTACTTTCTTCTGGATTCCCGGCTGTGCAAAGGTGTAGTTATCCTGTGGGGAGACGCTACGAGTCAGAGGCAGTAGCTGTAACAACGGCTGGGCATCAAAGAGTCTTCGACTCGGACCTGAGACTGCTACGAGCCAAGGAGACATGGCTCTTGGCTGCCGGGATCATCTGCTCTGGCATCTGGGACAGCACTGCATCTGATTTCCCCAAGATTTTGCCGAGAGGTTTTGCTCAATGAAGTAGGAAAATATCCCTCATACTAGGACAGATACCTGTCCCAGTAACAGAGCAAGATGACAAACATCTAGGCATAGACTCCCTAAGCTCTAAATGCCAGGAGTCCTGCAGGTCTAGTGGGCTTCTCTAGCTGGCTGTGCTCAGGACGCAGAGCTCTCACCCCAACATGGAGAGGAGAAAGCTGTGCTGCTACCCCAGTGAGCACAAGATAAATCTCCACGGCCTGAGAGCCTCACCTGTATCCCATCCAGCAGCTTGCTCATGCACCAGAAACTATCAGCTTCGATGCTCCGTAAAACATCCTGTGACAGGTTTGTCACATCAAAGTTCTCCACATCCTCTTCTGCAAAACAGACAGGGAAGAGGGTCAGGAATAAGGCAGACACCAGATGGCTCACGTGAGCACCAAGAGGCTCTATCAAAACCTTCAGTGGCAAGCCCTGGGGAACTGGCTGCTTGGAGGCAAGTGAGCTGGCGCAGGTGGCAGCTGGTAAGAGGGAGGCAAGAAGGTGGGAGCAAATGGAGGGTCTCTTCATTGCATATTATCTCTAACAATATGCAATTATTAGAGATATCTCTAACCCCACCCCCCACCGCTGGGGTGGCAGGACAGCCTCTCCTTTCACCTACAAAAATACAAAACTCACGATGTTGCAACAGGGAGATCTGAAGCCCAGGAGCAGGGTAGGGATGCATACAGCACCGTTAGCATCTTCCAGACCTCAGTGGAAAACCTGAGGTCTCCTCTTCCTAGCAGCTGCCTCAAGCAGCCTCTCCCAGACTCCAACAAGTCACAAAAGGCTGCCGAGCTCCCTGCTGATCGCCCTAACAGGCCTTTGAGCCAGCGAGAGGGGGATGCGCTCCCGCTCAGGGCTGTGCATGCAGCCACGGCTGGGCAGGAGGCAGAACAAGGCTTCCTGCTCACAGCCGACGTCGTGAGCGGCCACCCCCCGGACGTCGTGAGCGGCCAGCCCGGCGCAGCGCACACCACCAGCACGCTGACCTACTTCTCCGAGCCAGGTTAGCGGCAGGTGGAGGGCTGCAGGGCCCCAAAGACACGGTGGCAGCGATCCAAACGCAGCCCAGACCCGCCAGGGAGCGTGGGAGGGACCCTACGGTAGTGCTGCTGCTATTGCTAACTCTGCAGCAGGGGCTGTGCTCAGACAAAGTCCCCGGCCTACACGATCATCCCTGTTGGAGCTTAAACCTTCCCGGGTGGGGGCAGCACCACAGGGAGAACCAGGAGAGACGAATCCTGCCCTCTGTCCTGGGCAGCACAAGGAGCTGGGCTCCCTTTCCCAGTCTGGTAAAGGGAGGATTTATCAGTGCCAGGCCAGGACTGAAGCGCAGCAGACGAGCAGCCATGCCTGCCTTCCACGGGGAGCAGAAGTGTCTCATCTGCGCCCACCTAATTCCCCTAGGACTCAGCAACCTGACTAAAGGAATGAATTCACAGCATGGGAACTCACCTGGGCTGACCACCCTTGAGGGCTGCCTCTCCCCTTCCCCTGCCAACCCCACGCTCTGGCCAGAGGGACGCGAACAAGCCAAGGCAGCAGGACACAGGCACTCAAAGAGCGGCTGCCGGCTGGGAGGACACATCAGAAACAACTGCCGAAGCCTCACAAACCGCACTGGGAGAGCGGGCCTCTCGGGCACAGTTGCAAGGGCCCAAAAGCCCTCAAACGTCTTCCTGGCCAGCAAAAGTCTGAGTTAAATCCAGCATGGAGCCGTGAACAGTCTGACAGCGGTGCTGTGCAGCAGAAGGACTGCTCAGCCTGGCGAAGCCTCTCCTCCTCCCCGAGCTGCCAGGAGAGCTGCAGCGAACAGCAGCAGCCCCGTGCATGAAAGAGCCTTGCTGCAGGGGAGGCAGAGATTTGTACAAGCTTGTTTTTCAAACCCAGCTAATTAGGGTCTCCGTGCACAGTGCCTGGTGGCAGCTCCGTCCCCAAAGGGTGCTTTCTGAGCGCAGAGGGCTGTGCTCACTTTTAAATGGGTGTGCAAACTGCCAGGCTGGGCAAGGGAGGGAGGAGAGGCTTTGAGAACCGCGCAGTGCTGATGCTCACTGCGTTTAGAGTACAGATTACCCACTCCAGGCCAGTCTCACCTTCGCCTGGAAACTGTGCGAGGGCAATAGGTAGGTAAAGGCAGCAGCAGCTGATGGTTAGGGCACAGCTCGGTGCCCAGAGTTGCAGGTCTGGCACTCGTGGCTTGGCAGACCCAGCGGCTCCCTCCCCTTCTTCCCCGCTCGGCTCACGAGACGAGAGCACCCGTCACGCTGCTGACAGAGGCCGTGGAGGGAGCTGTCACACTGCTAAACTGGATCAACAGATGCCAGGGCTAAACTGGCCGACTTCCAAACGCAGAGGCTCGGAAATCTGAACAAGTGTCTTTGATCTCGTTTGGAAAGGAGAGAGGGAGAGGACAGGGCTCAGGGCTGGAGCCGGGCCACCCTCCCGGCTCAGACAAGCTGCAGAGCTGCTGCTCTTGGCAGCGAGAGCCAACAGTACCAGATCATCCCTGCAGGAGGATGTGAAGTATTGAGAGCGGGTGACTCCAATGCTGTTCCTACCTCTGCTCCTCCTCCCAGACAACACTCAGCTCGGGAGCAAACTGCCACATGGAGCCTTTAGGGATGAGTACAGGATTAAGCCTGCTTTAATTTGGCAATCTTCTACTGCAAAAAGAGCAGCAAAGCTGTTCTCGAGCTGTAGGTCAGCACCCCAAATTATCAGTCATCATGGCTTCTCCACAGCCACCCCCAAGTATAAGGGGTGATAATAAGACAGGCAAACCCCTGTTTAATACCCATTGCCTTTCTCAAGTAATTCCCCTTGCAGAAGAAAGGGTGCTACGCAGAGGCCCACATTGGCACTAGAAGACACAGCAGGTGAGAGACTTACGGGGAAAGGACTACATGAAGCACAGAGGTAAGAAGAGGAGCAGACAGCCAGGAGAAATAGAAGAGACATGGGAAGAAGATGGACAGGTAAGGAGTGGGACAAGGCCACGTGCATTCAGCCAGAGCTGGTGGAGGAGGCAGGTTCAGCCACGCAGGAATCAGCCTTACACAGAAGACTTCCCCATACAGCTCCAGACACGAGAAGTCTAGCATGAAGACCACGAAGGGGATGCGGTGACAAGCCCAGGTGATAGAGAACAGCCTGCTGCTTCCATTGCTACAGGAGCAAAACCAGCAACCCTGCCAGCACCCCAAAGAAAACCAGCGCTAGGAGATCCCCAGCACAAGCCAACACACATGGCAAGGAGCTTTGAAAAACCCCCGGGCTCCAGAGTACACAGCTCAGCACAAACATCTGCTCATGGCATCATTAAAGGGGCCCAGAAAGGAGCAAGGTACCCAACACATGGCTCCGACAGGAACTAAAAGGGAGCCAGCAGCTTGGTGACAGCCGCTTGTGGCTGGGCTGGGGGCAGTGGTGATACTGCTACCACAGTCACAGGATGCCCGAGGGCAGAGGAGGGAGAGCCCAAGCTCGGGGAACATAAAGCTCCAGAGTGACACTTCAACAGGCCTCAGGGCTGACACAGGAAGAAGGAGACCATGGTCCTACTTGAGCCCTTGCCTGAAATTCCAGACACGGCATAGCGTGGACCAGATCAGAGGAGACAGGGCTCTGGCCTCCCACATCACTGCTTTCTGCAGGGGAGGTTTGATGTCTCTTCGCCCATATTTGAGCCAGCTAGGGCCCAGGGGCAGGACAAGATACTTGGAGAACAGTTAAACCCAGTCTCTCAGTCCAGAGCTTCGCAGAGCAGCACATAAGTTTGCACTGCACGTGGTGAGCGATGGGTCCGATCGACATTCCTGGTTCGGCTGCTCTAGGACGAGAACAGAGCCGAGAACAAGCCTGACGTTACATCCTGACCTGGGTTAGTCACAGTGCGACTGGTAACACCAAGGTGTAAGACTCTCCTTCCCCTCATCCAAGCTCCACCTGCAACATCTGGCTATAATTCTGGTCCTGCCTACAGGGAAACACAGTCTTAATTTAATCATAATTAGGATTTAGCAACAAAGCCAGTTAGGAGTGAGCAAGATTGAACAAAACTTTCCAAGGCACTGCTCCCCTCCTCAGACTTGGTGAAACGCCAAACAGGCCCCAAACCAGGACAGCCCTTTAAAAGCAAGGCCTTGAACCAGGAATAGAAATGGTCTCATTAACATGGGTGAAGAGCACTGGGACAGGGCGCAGGGGGCCAATACTAGTACCATTCGAGGGTGCTGATCTCATCTCTCAAGGGCAGTGAAGCCCCCTACTCTATCCCTGCCATTTTAAATGGGGGGGGGGGGGGGGGGGGACCCGGGGCTCAGTACAGGGGAAGGGGCTACAGGACTGGAGCTAAGAGGAGCAGTGCTAGCAGGATTGATCAGCTCAGCATCCCTGTGCTTGCTAGGCCCTCTCTGACGGTGCTGTGGGCTGGTGCCAGGGCCAGCCCAGGGGAGTTAAGGACACGGGGAGCTCTGCGAACACATTATCAGCAATGCCTAGAGAAACAGGCAGGGCTTTCATCTGGCAGGTGCCAAGACGAGCTCACCTGCCCCAGCTCCTCACATGTCAGATTGCTTCTCCCTCCTCATGGCTCAGCTTTTCTCTCCAGCAGCGCTTGCCACCCTTCAGAGGGGACGGGTGCAGGCAGCCACCGCAGGCTCAGCTGCTCCTGCAGCCTCAGCACCTCCCTTGAGCACCTCCTCGAGACAGCATCAGCTGAAAGCCAGCAGTGTTCAGCCATCTGTGGCAGAAGCCGGCAATCAGCTGGGCGCAGGAAGGACTCTGGCTATGGATCTGACAGCAGCAGGGGCCCAGAGCAGCCTGCTTGCTGCCAAGCAGCCACGTCCATGCAGGAGGCAGGTAGAGCCTCTCAGGAGAAGGCAGACCAGCTTGGCACGCTGGGATAAAGAGGAAACGCAGCAGTTAAATCCAGCCTATCTGCCAAGGGCTTGCAGCAGTCTGGATGGGGACAGGGAAGGCATGGGGAGGGAGAAATTGTTTTCCAGCCCACTCACACCTGGGGGAAGTGAACAGGTACAGCTATGGGGGGGGGGGGGGGGGGCACAATTTGTAAGCTCTGGTTTGACATGCATTCATGATCTCTTGCAAGCAGAGGGCCCTGTAGCAGGAAGGGGAGAGCTGGTGTTTGGTGAATTATGTCACTCTTAACAGCTACCTGGCACAGGAGCCCAGAGACCCTAGAGAACAGCACTTGCAGGATCTAGCTAGCCTCCTTCTGACCAGCACCTGCAAGGACAATGAGAAGTTTTGCATTCAGACTTGGGGCAAGAACAGGAAGAGCAATAGGTCCTGAACGGCATTGGAGAAGGCAGGGGAGTTCAGATATAGGGACTGGAAGCTCTGGAAGAGCTGCTTCTCACTGTTTTAACCTAATTGGTATTTTCTAAAGCTCAAAGGCACTCACTGGATTCAAGGCCCTGCAGGGAAAGGAGAGGGAAGCAACATCAGTAGGGCCCTTTCAAAAACACATCAAGGCTAGGGAGATGCAAGTTCATACAGGGTCATCAGTTCCCTGAATAGAGAGCAGCTACAAGAAGCATCTTGTCATGAATATTTTACACTCACTGGTCTGTTCACTTCCTTCAGGACCCTGAATGGCAAACACCTTTCCTCCCCACAGCTTCTACAGGGAGGAAGAAAAACCATCACATCCCACAGACAGAGCAGTATGGCCCTGCTCCTAAATCCAGCCAAATAGCTCTAACTAGTACTCTGAGCAAGCTGGGTTTATACCTCTGCACACAAGGCCCTGGGAGTATGCTAGGGTACTGTTGACCATTGGTTCATTGCTCACATGAACTTTAACACAAGGAAGCTGCCAAATTGGATGCTGAATGTGTTTGACAAGCTACAGACCAGCCCCTACGCAGGGCATCCATCTTCCCTAGGGCCCTGGACATGTTCTAGCCCTTGGTGGGAAGCCAGTCAAGCCCTCGGAGGGCTTGACATTTGTTTTAAGCCTTGCTCTAGTACCCGATAGATAGTGGAGACATCAATCAACCCGAGACATTAAGCAGCTGATGAGCACCAAGGAGAGGTTTTAATTGATCTGTAGAAAAGCTGATTTGTTGTCTGGGAACTCAATACTTGCCCAAGCATGGGATGAGTTAAAAACCTCAGTCAACTTGGATGCGGGGGCCAGTCTGTTATTGGAGGCGAGACTGCAATGCGAGAAGTCAATACACTGAACAGTAAGAGGTGGCAGTGCAAGCCTGGCCTTCTGCTGAACAGCTAACCAAAGCCAACAGCTTGTGAATTCCCACCTCCGCCTGCCATCTCTGACTGAATCACACTACGATCCCCGGAGAGCCATGCTGGCCCTGCTGAGTCAGCCAGACCCAGACCCAGCTACTGCAGGAGGCAGTCCTCCAAAAGCTCTAATGCAAACATCCGAGGAAAGGTGGCGGACAGCTCAGCAGAGGAGCCAGCCGGCAGCCAAGTTGGTCTCTTCTAGCCTGAGGCTTTGCATCCTGTAGTCAACAAAACTCCTACTCTCAAAGGAGAATAGGGGCAGGAAAGCCAAGAGGTTTGAGGATGGAGCTCAGAAAAGTCTCCTGCAGTAGGGCCTGGGATGCAGGCTCACACCTCCCAGAAGGTCAGGCCAAAAAACCACCCATGGTCCTGGGCACCTCTCCTGCCAGTAGGGAACAGGAGTCTTCAGCAAGGCTGAGGCCAATGCTGGTGCTGACCCCCAAAAGGGGAGGCAAACTTTGCCAGGGAAGCTGTATGCATATTCCAATACACCTTTGAACATGGAAATACCCCGAGATAACCCATAGGTGTCCAAGGTCCTCTGTGGCTCTATGGGCAGGGGCTGTCTGTGCCATAAAGATTGTTCCCCTTTCCAGGGACAAAGTCTGAAGAACACGAGCAGAATTTCCTTTGAATGAGAGACTCCCCACAGAAAGGGGAGCTCTCCCTTGGCAAACGCTGCACAAGGACTCAACTGCAAGTCCTCTTTCGGCTCACAGATTTGGCCAATGCAGAGATCCCGAGAATTAGTGATCCAACACCAAGAGCCTCTGGAGCAGCCCTGCCAGTGCTCAGTGCCAGCTGTTTGGCAGCCTCCCAAAGGCAGCTGTACAGAAAAGCCAGTGCTCCAAACCAGCAAGTGGATTAACTTAAATCCTCCTGCAACAGGGTTTATGGGGCACTGAGCGGTGCCAGTTCTTTCCCACATACATTCAACAGAATTATTGATCTCATCCTTATACTTCACCTGCCTCACAGTCAGATCAGCAGGCAGTTAACCACTGAAACAGAGGAACATCGTGCTTCTGACCTAAAAGCTGGCTTTGAATCCCAGGCTCTGGAGACAGAAGGGGACACACATGTTGCTAGACTAAATTCAACTTGATGCATCTCACATGCTTGATGAGGTTTTCCTCCAACGCAACTTGCAGAGACAGCTGCAAGGCCACATTCAGCAAGAACATTTCAGTCAGAAGAGAAAACAGGCCTGGAAGACTGAGAGAAGCATGGCCCCGGCGAGACAGGTCTGACACAGCATGAACTCCACAGCCACGCACAGGCAGAGTTGGGCACGGACACCCAACACAGCACATGACTGCAAGAAGTCAGAGTAATACCTGCAGGCAGCTATGACATTTCAGACCAACTCTTTTCTTGCACAGATAACTTACTCTGCACACAGCGCTCTCTAACCCAGCAGATCAATCTTGAGCAACCAGCCTCCACTGAGGCTCAGTACGATTAATGCCTCTCAAGCAGTGAGGCCCAGGAGGGGCCGCTCAAAGAGAAACCTGCTCAGTTGCTTACTGCACAGTTTGTTTCTTTATCTCCCAGGAAAGGAAATTCACTCAAGGTGTGGAGAAAAAGAAAAAAAACACCCCAACATCCACTTAGTTTTGCTAACGAAGACATTTTGTGCTTTCTCCTTCAGACTATAAGAAGCAACAGCACTTCTTAGGCTACCACAGTGGAAACTGGAGTAGCTTCCTTCTTCACAGTGTCCTCAAAAGACAGATCAGTACAAGTTTACAAAGCCTTAGCTAGATAGCAGAAAGCCTCCAGCAACTCCAATGAGCTTTGGATGAGACCTTAAAAATATTTCTGTCAAATAGAATTTTTGTCATTAGTAAGGTCTTACAAACTCCTTTTTCCTTCTCTTAAGGTGAAAAATAAGAGCCTTTAGTTATAGGGATTGTGGCCTCCCAGTGTTAATGTAAATCCCAAAACACAGCTAGAGCTGGAGAAAGAATAAAAATCCCATGGGCAAAATTAACTTGATCTATGAGTAAAAGTGACTGGCTAACAACAAAGCTGAGAGCAGCAGGGAGAAGTAAATTTGCTTTCTGAAAGCTCTCAGCTTTACAGACACACCTGTACTAGCAGCACAGGACAGGAATATTTAAATAGTTTATTTTAAATTCTCAACAGGGTCTCTTTATAGTTCACTCATTCCTTGTAGAGCAAGAACTAGCTCCAAATTCAAGCTCTGAGAGCAAGATTCCACCCCCCCCAACTCTGTAGTTCAGGGCTTTGCTTCAACTCCCTCTGGGCCTGAAAAACCCTATTTTCTTCAGAACTACTACAGTAAGTACATTCAAATGCAAATCCACCCTTAGCACTTCAACTTCTGTGGAGCTCAGCAAGGCTGTGAAGCTACAGTCAAATCAACCAGGCAGCAAAGACACAGAAAGAGGTCAAGATGCATCTTTAGTGAGGCATAGGAGCCAAGAGACAGACTCCCCTCCCGCAAGGGAAGCTTTTCTAATGCCAGCACTTCACACCATTGCAAACACTGTGGACAAGAGGAAGCACCGTGCCTTCAAGCAGCCAATGTCACTTACCAACGTATTCCGAGAGGAACACAACAAAGAACGGAGTGACCAGGTCATTGATTCCCTGTACATAACCGCTGGCTGGGTGTCGAATGGCCCAGATAAACAGGATTCTTTCAAAGATCTAGGGGAAGAAGGAAGGAAAGCAGGTACCTGCATTAGCCGTGCACAAAGGAAAGGCAGAAAAGAGTAACTGCTAAGCTCAGGGAGCAGAGGTCATGCACTGACAGGCCCCTCCGCAGCAATATTTGTTAGATAAGACGCATACAAGTCAGAGGATACTCTCTGTACCATCTACAGATCCTGCCCCCACAGGCTGGCCCACACTTCCCAGAAGAAGAAGGCCCAGTCTCCTCACCAAAGCCTCAGCATGAAGAAACATAGAGGCCAACTTTCCAAGATCCAGATGGCTTAAGACCCTTCCATCCACAGGGCAGAGCTGCCTCTTGTTGAATGTCACATAGATAGCTCAGGCTGTCATCTGGGCTCTTTAACCATCAAGTATCAGCTCTCAGCGCAGTATTCCCAGCTCCACATCACAGGTCAGGATAATTCCCAGAAGAGCAGGATGGTCCTCCCCCAGACAACCAAACTACATGCTATTTCCAGTCAGATCCAGTCCAGGCCCCAGGACACCATGCTCTGACATACTACATATATGTGCTGAGTTTGTTTCCAAAGACAACAGATGCCTGCACCTCCTGGCCACCTCTCAAACCCATCACTGCCTGAGATTCTCACATACTGCTTCACTCAGAAGAGGTTTCATAACCAAGCACAACTGATGTCCTGTGCTGGTTCAAAACAGGAACTTCAGGTCTCTTCCTAATTCTTGACTATGTTTTGCCAGAGAAAGCTGTGTTCTACAGAGGTGATCTCATGGCCAGCGAGCAACAAGGCTGATGTCTTTTAGAGACATTGGACAAGACCAGACAGTTTAAGCAGCTATTTGCTGATCAGTTGTGGAAGGCATCAGTTGTTGTCAGCCAGGGAAACGCAAAGCTAACTTGCAAAGTTAACTCAGTCCAGTGGTAGTGCTGGTCTAACTCCACGCACAATCAGCCTGACCCACTGCAACGCAGGCAGGAGCCTCGCTCCCCCCTTACCTCTTGGACAAGTGGCTGCTGGAAAAGGGGAATGAGCGGGTTGGTCCTTGGAATGTCGATGTGGATCTGGAAGAGAGCGTGGGTTACATACATCAGCCTTGCTTTTCAGGGGCACAATAAATCACACAGGCCGATGGAAGGGAATTCACCCTCCCAGTGTCCCTAAGGGAGGGCTGCGCTTGCTGATGAGCACAGCTGGGCCTACAGGTAGCAGCCACATTGAGAAAAAGCATGGAGGAGTTTCACCTCCAGTCTCCTTTGCTCAGGGCTGGGCAGGCCATCAGAGCTGGGCTGGGAGAAAGATGGGGTATGAAATCTAGTGATTAGTAGCAATTTAAGGAAGGCTTAATCCAGTGCCCTTAAGGAGATGGACAGAGGCATGGGGGCTGCCCGCAAGGAGAAGACTTAGTGGCTACAGCTAGAGGAAGTTCTAGTATGACCCCAGCTGCAGGGGCAAGCAGCAACAACAGGAAGGGAAGGAATGTACCAACGCAGAAAGCCAGGCAACAGGCAGAGGGCTTGTACCTGCCGGTAGGTATCCTGATGGTGCTCCTCGTTCCGGGAATCATAATACTGCTGGATGAAACCAAAGTATTCCTCCCGCTTGCGCTGCAAAGTCAGCTTCCGCCGCTCCATGTTTGCGGGGAGATAACCCTGCAGCAGGAAAACAGATGTTAGGGCAGACCCTCTTCCCCCAGTTCTCCTGGCCACTGACCATTCCTGGAAATCTTGCCAAGCAGCTGCGCACTCAGAAGTGCTGTCAGATACAGAGACTCAGGAACCGTGGAAAGAGTTCTCACGGGTTTTGGCTTTATTAGCCCTGATGTTTTTTCTGATCTGGGGGCAACCCACTTTCATGGGATTCATCAGCTTGTTTCCCAAGCAGAGCTAACCATATTCCCAGCACCAGTCCGGGCTTTGTGCTCAAAGAGGATGTAGCTATTACATTCCCTGATTTGAAAGTACAGCTCATCTGCAGGCTGGGCACAGACGTGCCACAAACAAACCTGGTTATGGGACACATGAAGGTCTAGGAGCGTGTGTCCCCCTGGTTCTGCACAGGCTGTCAAGTTCCCCCCACCCATACTCCCGGGTCACAGCTCCAAGTACTCACTGACAGGAGACGCCACGTCACGGGCCGGACCTCTCTGGGCACACCAGGCCAGCTGCATTTCCTCAGCTCATCTGCAAACGGACAGTGGTGGCAATGGATTAGATCCTAGGCACGTCCAGGCACCACTACACCTAGAAGGAGAGGAAAGCCCAGTCTGCTCCTGCAGGCTCTGGAGAAATTAAGCCTCCAGGAAGGCTCCACATTAGCCATGACTGGTGATGTGGGTCTAGGGTAGGGGCAGTAGAGACACTCTCTACTCAGCCTGGGCACAGAACTGTTGGCTGCTGGGGCTCTGACCCACCAGTCCCCTCTCAGCAGCATTCAATCCTCAGGCAGAGCCCAACAAATCCCAGGGACCACAACCATCATCTGTGCAACAGGGAAAGACCGGAAACAGACAGGCAGCCCCTGAACAGCACTGCTGGTGGAAGAGGTTATCATCTGGAATGATCCCCCGGCTACAGGTAGTAACTTTTTCCACTTTTGAGCAGATACAACTGCCACCTGAACCATGTTTCACTGAGGCAGAACGCCTCCTTCACCTTCCCCTTCCCACCTGCAGGCACCCATTTCATCACACTCACCCAGGTCCGTGTTGTGGCTGGAAAGAAGCTGCCGAAACTTCTCTAGGCGGGTTTTCTCCCTCACTGTCATGGGGGGAGCACCCGAAGCATTTTGGTCAGAGATCCGGGCAACGAGCGGAATGACAGGCCGAAGGGGGAGGGACTGCTGCTTCTGAAGGGAGGTCTGCATACAGGCATCCTCTGCAAGGAGCAGACAACATAGTGAAGGACACAGCACCTCTCCAGCCCCACCTTGCTCCACTAGCCAGAGATTTGCCACTGTAAATTTAACCTGTCTCTTCCCTAGCCTCAGCCCACGGAGCATCACTGGCCCACCAACAGATCAGCACTTCAAACGGGCTCACAGGCATCCGGTGTTGCTCTTCCATCACTTCCCCCCTCCGATCTCTCCTTTTTCTTCCATTACTCATCCCTTCCTCCCACCTCTAGGCACCTGGCTGCCAACAGATCAGACTTCCTCCCTCAGGTATCGGAAGGTATGTGGCAAGATAAGACAGAGGCACAAGGAGATGTGGGAATCCCCGAGGAACTGACCTTCAGATCTGGATCTGCCCTGCTCGTCTCTGATTTAAATAGTGATCAAGCTAATTGCCAGTGCAGAGAGGAGGCGATAGGCCACCAATGCCACCTGCTGGCAGCAGAGACCTGCTAGGCTATTCCAGCAGTGCACTGGGCCACCAAAAAAAAAAAAAAAAAAGCAGAGGGGGAGAAAGCCCAACCAAAACCTAAAAAAGAGGGGGAGCAAGCCCAACCAAGAAATTAACAGATCTCCAAAATCCCTTACTGCCCAGAACAGGGACCCTACAGGACACATGTCTGTAGGCAGGATATCCAGTGGAGACTGAAGCATTGGCATCAGGCCTTCTAACAAGGCTCCTTGGAGTGCCGGATTCTACAAGGAAGCAAGAACCTCCGCCAGGCATACGAGCTGCGTTGTGGCCTCTTATCCATAATATGCAGGTAGCAGCAAGAGGTTGGGTTCAACGGTCAATTAGGAGAGCACCAGAGCAGCAGGCTTTGCCTGAAAATGCCTCTTACCAGACGTCCTGGAGAGCTGGGCCTCACTGCTGGACTTGATGACCTTGCAGTTGGTGGGCATGTCGCCAAGAGCGGACTGGGCCCGCTCAGGTTTCACCCGCAGCTTACTGTGGTTTTCCAGCACCTGGGCTGCCGTGGCCTTGGCCACTTTAGAGTTCAGAGTTTGGAAAGAGGAAGAGGAAGAAGAGAAGTCCTCATCCTCATCATCACCAATGTCCCAGGCATCACTGGTGTTGCGGGCAAACTCGTGAAAGCTGGAGGCCTTCTTGCTTTTCATAGGCAACGCGTTGGCCTTGGAGCGGTCTTTGATTAAACTGGGAGCCAGAGAGAAATAGTATCAGAGCCCTGGCATTAGCGAAGTCCATTTTCTTCCTGTCCCTACGCCCTTGTTCCAATTCGCTAGTCTCTTCCTTATCCAAACGCCCTGCCCCTCCTCCCAAACACAAGGAGCACGTTAAGTCTCTCCAGGAGGCAGAGCCCCAGCCAGTAGGATCCCAGGGCATAGAAGGCCATAGTGCCAGCAAAGAGTTGGAGAGGTGCCAGGCTTCTGGGCCCAAAAGGGCAAATGAGAGAGACATACAGCTTTTCCAGCTCCACCTCTGTCCACCCTACAGAAAACAGGAAAATTAACACAAAAAAACCCTTGCAACCTGGGGAGAGGCACGTCAAGGCCTAGAGAGAGCTGATCAACACTCGTAGACACTCTTAATGCAGCTGTAATCACTCACAGTGCACAGGCACCAGCCTGTTTCTGTTCTCAGGCAAAGGAGGAGCCTTTGCATTTACCCTTAAGCTGCAGGAATCAAAGTCCACCAGCTGAAGCGTGGCAGAAAAGGGGGAGCCTTCACTGCTACACAGCATGAGATAAGGATAAGGAGGCAGTTCAGGAGATCAGCTCTGCCTTTTCCTGCCAGGAAGGGTGCCGCAATTCTGCAGCCCCATGGCCTCAGGACTGCTGATCCACCATGCTGCCAGGCAGCTTTACCTCCCTCCCCGCCTTCCCTTAATTCTTCCCTCTCCAACAGGGAGCGAAGGGCCCTGATGCCACTGCTTAAGAAAGCTCCTGTCTCCTTTGATGTGCCCGGTATGATACAGATTTCCGGCCATAACAGGCACCAGATAAGCTACCCTTGCAAGCTTTCACAGAGCTCGAGACAGCACAGCACCCCATTGCTGCCCTTCTCTCCTGGAGGCAGATGGGAACATGTGCCTGAAGCTCAGCCACACCAGAGCTGGAGCTTAAACTGCAGATAGCAGAGGGTATGCACAGAAGCGCTGGCCTGGGTGCTGTAAACCAGGTATAGCTGCACGCTCTCGTGGGCACTGCCACTGGGTAACCCACAGCACTTGGGCAGCAACTTCAGAAACCACCTGAGGAGTTTGCTCAGGAAATAGAAAAGTAGCTGCTGGGTCATTTCTACAGTCCCAGCAACATGGGCCAGTCTGATTGGGAGGAGGCGGAATACTATAATGCCAGGGGATGCTGGAGACCTCCAGCTACTGCAGGACTGAGCCAAAACCCTCCAAAGCAAGTGGTCTATGTCTCCAGAGATAAATAAAACTTACTTTTTGGTGAGCCGGGGGTCCAATGGGGGATGCTGTGCTCCATAGACAGGCTGAATGCTGCAGGAAGGAGGGGGAAAAAAAAAAAGAAAGAAGAGTGCCAAAAGCCACAGAGGAACCATGAACAGTCTCCTCAGCCTAGGCTGGGGTCATACTTCTTGCTTGCTGTCAGGAGCCAAACGCCAGCCAAAAGCAGCTTCAATAAGCTTCTGACTTCAAAGCCTTAGATCAGAAGTGTCACATTCAGCTGAAGTGAATCTGCAGTTCTTTGCGGCAGAAGAGACCGACCCTGTTTGAACCACTTGGCTCTCTCCAGCCTGGCTGAGCAAGGAGCAGAAATCTGTTCTTTGCTGCACTGACGATTCACTCCGAGTAACCACGTGTCTCAATTCCCCCTGCCTTATAAACTGAAGTCCGTTCTCTTTTCCATCAGAGGGCTTCCCAGGTTTGGGGATTTACACTTCTGAGCCCTCAGGGACAGGGAAGGACTCCAGCCAGCACTACTGCGACTCTTCAGCAAGACATGTGAGGGTTTGAACCCCATGCTGGTTCTCAGGCTCATAGCCAATGCTACAGTGAGGCGGCCTCCGGTATGGTACACAGTCCAACTCCGGTCCCAACGCCAGCTTTATCAACTCCTTCCTACGTGGCCTGAAGTGAGTCACTATGTCTCGGCACCCTGGTGTCCCTCTCCGAGGAGCAGGGCTAGTGCTCCAGGGCACAGGGAGCCTCAGGGCTCCAAGCGCTCCATAAGGAACACCACTTTGAAGAGGAGTTATTAGATGAGTGCTCATCACCAGTTCTACGGGCTTTAGAAACAAGATGGGGATCTTGAGTCATTAGCTCCATTTGGGTAACTATTCACAACCTCCCCACTCTAAAAGGTATGCTTAGATCTCTGGAAAACAAGTCTTCCCCATCTCCTGGTACACAGCAGAGCCCTGTGTCCAACTGCAGAGACAAGGGCCCATTCAGAGCTGGCACACAAGGGACAGCTCCTCTTGGGTGCAGGGAGTTGGCCTGGTTTCCAGGAGCCACGGATGGAGCCCGGCAGTAAAACAAGCAGAGCCCAGCAGTGTAGGAGGGGGACTGCAGTTTGGTGCAGCTGGGAAGCACGTTGAGAACAAGTTGATGCTGGGGAGGCAACAGCAGCAGGCCCAGCTGGCAGAGGAGGGATGCAGAGATGCGGGGCAGAGGCTGGAAACAACCACAACACAGAAAGATCCCGATGGTGAAACCTAGCCGGGGTGGGCTCACCGCTACAGTGGCAGCCCTTCGTGGCTGCAAGCGCTCAAAAGGCTCACTGTGTTTACCCACCAGCGATCCGGGCCAGGAAAGAGTTTGCCGACTAATTAGCATCGAGGAGTCAGGACAGCTATTAAACAGAGGCGCCCCTGTGGGTGGCCATAACAAGCAGTTTATCAGGAGTTAATATTTAAAAAAAAAAAAACAAAAAAAACCCACACCCAACCCCTCCAGATCAGTGCTGCTTCCAAGTGACTCACAGCAGCTCCGTTCGGAAGAAGAGCTGGCGGAGCCTCCTGAACACCCAGCTCACACCATCCTGTGACAGCAGTCACAATGCTGCTCCTCTTTGCACAGGGATCAACATCACCGGGGAAACCCACACGTGTGGGGAAAACCCACACGTGCCAGACAGGCAAATGCTCCGAAGCACACGCAAAGGGAGGGCAACTATGCTTAGGTCTGCTGGCCTCAAGCTCACAAGCCACGTGAATGGCACACGTTATAGAGAGAGGAGGGGATGTGGCAGCAGCTCTGGATGAAGAAACCCCTTCCTGGTGCTCTGAAGCAATTGGCCAATGCTTTTGCGATGGACTAACGGCTGATACAATAGCAGAGGGTCCCACCTCCCAAGCGGATCTTATTAAAGGATTTAAACCTAACCTCACACAAACGCAGCATCCCAAGCTGGTCTAGCAGCACAGCCCGTCAGCTTTGCTTCCATATAAACAGCTGAAGGTGACAGCCACGTCTCCAGCAACCTAAAGAGAGGCAGGGCTGAACCCCACCATCCGGCATCACTGAGCTCCAACTGCTGCATGGAGCAGGTTCTCTCCGTGCTTTTTCCATCTTTGATTTTGCTGAACAATTCTCTCCCCTACCCATCCATGCAGAGGGTATAAGCTGGGTAGGAACAAGTGCAAGCACTCAGAGACATGCAACAGGTGACTTTAAAATATGCAAGCACCTGCACAAATGCCAGATGGCAAGTTGGTGCTGTAGCGCCTGTGGCACCCTTGATGCCTGATCCCGCTCCTTCAGCTCGCGTCCCTGTAACTGACTCTCAGCAGATCCTGAAGCTCCACACAAAGGTGCATTAACACATCCCTGCTTTTACAACCGAGAAAACCGAGGCAGGGGAGTGATACCCAAGTGATGCTCAGTAAACATTTATTTACTCACTCGTTTCTGTTCCCCCCCCCCACCTCCCATCTAGCAGCTCAGCTCTGCTAGATGAATGGAGCATCCCCAGATGAACTTTGTCTCTAGCTGTCTTCATCCGACTGTTGCATGGACGGAAAGCTCAATGCAGGCACTACATTTCAGCACACACACCACTGGGTCAGGAGTTGAGTCCTAAACCATGTCCTCAGATCTGTGCCACTGAACTGGCTGGACAAGTCAGTCCATTGCACTCTTCTATTTTAGTTCATGCTCTTTGGGACAAGGCATTTCTCATTACCTGTACCTTCAGCACCCCGTACAACAGCCTCCCAGTCTCCGCTGTGCTATCTGCTTTACACTTCTCATGAGCAGATCATAACAGTGTTTGGGTTAGTGACACTGCAGCAGAAAGCATATCCATGAAACCTCGGTGCCATTCCAGAGACAGAACATATTTTATTCCCAGTGGAGCCTGCATCTCCCCTTTTAAAACAGCAATTAAATAAAACTCCCTGGTGTCTTGCCGCCCATTTCTCTGAAAAGCAGGAAATAATCAGAATGCACCCCACAGGATAACATGCTAAACCAACCTGACAAAGCACTCCTAAAAACTTACTGGAGTGAGAATTCCCACTGTGAGAACACAAGACATTACTGGCAACATGAAACAGCATTTACTAGTAGTGCCACAACACTACGTCTCCAAAGAAAAAGCACCAAGTAAAAGCTAATAAAACTAAGCAACCAAATTCACAAAATATCACAGAAAAGGAACCTAACACTGTCTCCAAATCTTTACAAAGCCCTCCTCTGTGAGCTTGTCAGGGCAAAGAATGGAAAGAGTCAAGAATCTGCATGGGAAGATCTCTCAAAGTCCAGACCAAAAATTGGAAAGGGAGCATCACATCTAGTGACCATGGACACAGCACGTCCGACTTCCACCCTTTGCAGTTGCGTTGTCCATTAGGAATGAGGTCTCCAAGATCCCTGTAAGTAACTGCCCCTGGGAAGGACAGGTACACAGGATATTTAAAGGTGGCAACCAGCCTGCCTGACACCAGGCGACAGACGGATACTTGCAAATTAGCCTGTTAGGAGGAGGGAAGAACTCTGCCAAATACTTGACGCTGAAGCTCATTGTCTAGGCACGACTGACTGCCTCCCAAACCGGTTCATCTAGTCTGGGCTTTCCAAGCTGAAGCCCAAAGTCATCAGCCGTGGAAGAGAGATGCTGTCATAGAGACCACCAGCTGGAAGCACAGCTGGGACCTCCTGACAAAGGTGGTCACCAACAGGGAGAAGAAAACACCCATGGATGGCACTGCATTTTCTTCCCCCATGAAGAAAAGAAGAACATGCTATGCTTACTGCTCGCCCTTTGCTTGACACAGATCTGGACTGTCCCACAAACCTGAGGGAGCTGGAGCAGCAGCAAAGACTAAGAGTGAAAGCACATTAGAAAGAGAATTAACTGGCCTAGCAGGATTTAAAGCCAGCTAAGCATTTCAGAGTGCACATCAGGAGGGGGCAGCAGGGTTCAGATAAGGCAAACAGGAGCACGAATATAGTAGAAAGACTGAGGAGTATCGAACTAAAACGTAACTTGTGAAAACCTCCTCAGAGAGGTGGGTGCCCTCTCCCCACCCTCCCTGGACACTGCCTCCATACAGGAACCTTGCTCTCAAGGCCATGTAGGAAGCATCTCCTTCATCGCCACCAGCCCCTTCCTCTTGCTCTGCTTGAGCAAGACATTTTACTCATTCCCCTCTCCCACCCGCAGGTGAACACAGATGCCTCAACAGGAAACAGGACACCACACCCGGAGGAAACCAAGCAGGGGAGGTGCACACAGGGATGCCCCACAGGCCCAAACAGTGGAGGGACTGTCAAAAACAGCAGGGTATCAGGAAGAGGTGGACCAGGAGTGACACCCCACGTAGGGGAGGATAAGGAGGGGGGCACCTGTTTCGGTAGGGGCACCTGTTTGGGACAGGGGAGCTGCTGCCCAAGGAGACACCGCTAAGGGCTTCGGAAAAGGAGAAGGCTTCTTCAACATCTGTGGAGATGAGCATGTTTCAGCCCTGGCTCCAGGGCTGCCCCAGAGGCAGCCCGGCTACAGGAGGAGCCTTACAAGGCCCTGACACCCTCCGCAATGCTTTCCATGGGGCAGGGGTGCAGGTGGGGCTCCCCACAGCCCCCACACAAACTCTCCTGCCCCACAGATGAAAGGACAATCCTGACACCCCCTTTCTATTGGGGGGCCTCCCCAGCCCAACTCACCCCCATTGCCAGGAGGGCTGTTCCCAGCACCCTCTCCCATTACAGGGGGGCCCCTCAGGCCGCCCCCTCCCTGCCCCATAGCCGGGGGGGCT